TAGAGGAGCTAAGAAAGTTGAAAAGAGGGTTGACATGATGCACAGATTGGGAAGAGGAGAGGAGGTTTGATGAAGTGAAGGAGAAGTGAAGGTGGACTTTACTTAATGAGGAGGAGCAGAGAAGAAGCAAGAAGATGACAGAGGACATGAATCTCGTCTCCATGCCTTGGAGAAAAGGAATGTCAAGGCAAGTCGCACACTCATACAGAAACAACTGTACACATGCACACTCACAATCATCCTGCCAGAAATCTGTGAAGAAGCAGCAAGTTTAGATACACATGTGTGAATGAAAACTGGACTTGCAGAATGGACTCATTCAGCTCTGTGATAATAAGTCTCCACCCCTTCCTTCCTTTAACTGCTTTAATCCAAGATTATTGTGCACACCCTCTCAATTAGACAACCACTAATTTGATGTTTGTGCATATACCTGTACACACACACGCCCACAATGAAAACAGAGACTCCCTCTCTTGCAAGGCTCTTTCTTACACACACACACACTCTCGCTGTGTTGGAGCAGCAGGTACCTGGAAGCAGCCAAACTGTCAGTGACTGTTGCTAGCACATGCTCGCTCTCAGCTCGGCTCTCTTTCTTCAGTTGCTGCCAAAGGAGGAGGAGGAGGAGGAGGAGAAGAAGAAGAAGAAGTGAGGCTGGGAGGAACCGATACACACATACAGATAGAAAACAGAAAGAGACCAGCCTCTGACTGCTTACCTCTTGCCTCTGCCTGGCTGCCTGTGTGGGGGACTGGAGGCAGGCTGAAGTGATGCCTCACACACTCTGGAGCAGCACATAGTTGTTTCTCCTCTACAGGATTTTTATTTTTGCTTTCTCTGTTTTCTTTTCTCTCTCTCTTCTTTCTGTTTCACTTATGAGGAGAGACCGACTCTTCTTAGCTGTGACCCTCACAGCTATCTTTTCTGCTGACTTCTACTTCATCCTCCTGCCAAAACTACGCAGCATGGGTCAAGGATCAAGACAGTTCTGCTCATGTGGTTCCAGTAACCTCACCCTCCCCTGGCAGGGGGGCCTCGCCACACCGCGTCTCTCCAACTGGACCTCTGTGCTGTCCCTGGAGGGTACTACAACTGACCCCACAGATGGGGGCTCAAAGCTGGAGAGGCTGTTTGCTCATCCTCTGTACAACATCGAGACTCCAGCACTGGGGCCGGAGGAGAGGCTGCTGCAGGTGGAGCAGCTGGTAGAGTACTACAGGAGGAAGGTGTCCCACTGGGAAAGGTCAGTTCATGCTGTCATTTTTCTAGATTTTTAAAATCACATTTAGACACATTGAGACTTTGTCCAAGTGTGATTGAATTTTCAACACATGGCAGTGAAGAGGAAGTGACTGTTGCTAGTGTTACTCAACTTTATTGTGAAATCTGAGAATGTTTATTTTGGCTTGTGTTCATGTCTGACTGTGGTCAAGAGGCAAGGTCACTGACATTATGGCCAAACTCACAGCAGACACACACAACCACACAGCTTTGCACATTAAATACACTTTCTTCATGGTAACAGAGGTCAGAATGTGAGTGACAACCCTCACAAACATCCCCGTCTGACAGCTTGCATCTAAAACGCCTTCGCTGAGGTAAACAAGGATTTAAAGTTGCTAAAACCCATTTTAATCTGTAGAAGCCAGAGCTGTCTTGGCTTGTGAGGCTGCCTGTCTATCCCAACACAGTGCGCTCCTGCCGAGGGATACAGATTTTGGACTCTTATGGTGGAAAATAAAAAGAAGTATGAGCAATGGATCTCCTCTCTCTGCTGCCTTACAAATGTGCAGAAAAACAATGAAAAGCCTTCACAGGCTAGTTTTAAACTTAGAAGATCTTGCAAAAGCACCTCACACTGCAACAAATACAATTAGGGAGAGCTTTTTTTCAAGGGGTGCTAAAATAAACTGGTTAAACCAGTTTTATTTGCTGAATAAGGAAGTGGGTTTCAGGTTAATTTCCTGGTCAGTCTGTGTACATTTGCTTGTCCATCCTGGCAAACATTGTAAACAGTTATCACTAAAACACTGTCCACCCTTCTAAATCTTCTGTTCTGCTCTACACTCTGTGGTCTGCACATGTCTGCTGTCCTGATTACCCTGATCTAGCACTTCTGATTGCTAGGTGACCGATGAGTTGGTAGGATAACAAACAAACATTGTATTTATAGCCCTTTGCTCCATTATGACCGGAACTGCCTGTCCAATTCATTGTGGTCGGGTCTGGTGATGTTGTGCCCCTCTCACCACAGACCTATTTGTTTAAGCCACAGATTATTCTTGCTTCAGCTTTAGGTATAGCAGAGAGGAGAGGAGGCAGTGGGCATTCAAAATGCTGTTACAACTGATTTTAAAAACAGTAAAGTCCAAGTTATAGTTACATGCAAATTATAAACAGTGTGTATAATGAATTCAGGAAATGCCTGTATCTTCACAAGGTTCCTCTTTGATTTTAAACCCATTCTTGCAAAACCTGCTGCTAAGAAAATCTGCTGAATCCTCGCTGTGGATTTCTGTCAACAAATACTGCTCCACATCTGTAGTTTTTCCAAATTTAAAATCGACCCATAAATAAAAAAGATGCAAGAAGTCATTTAAAATCTGCCTGCCTTAGATTACCATGCTATGCCCCCTTTAATATTGGTAACCCAGGTTCAGCAAGTAAAATGCCACGTACAGCTGCTCTACAGGGAGCCAGGGCTACCTGCAGAAAGGTACTGGAAGAGAGAGGACACACTGCAGGAGAGAGGAGACACAAAGTTAGTGACATGCAATGGTGGCATATAAAAATAAAATGGAGAAGGAAGAGGAGAAGAAGAGAGGGGAAGAGCAGAGAGGAGGTCAGAGCATCATGGGAGGACCCCAGCCTAGGCCTATGACCAGGGGATGATACACTAAACTAAGCCTATCCTAGAATGCATGTCCAATAATTTCAGAAAGCACCACTACCTGGGCACGAACAAAGGCCGTCCTGTTGGCTAAAAACAACTGGTACTGTTAAACATACTGGCAACAGGACAGCCCTGTTTGCCTGCAGGTACTAAGATGGCTGTCAGTCTTATTTCTGTTCAGCCACACTGGTTGTTATGGTGCCATGAAATATCAGACTTAACACAACATGCTAAGTACCTTTCTATGCTTCCTCACCGTGCTACTCGTATACTAGTATTATATCATATACTACTACTAGTAGACAGAGGATAGTTTGACTGTATTCAGTTCCTAGAAATGCTCCTTGTTCAACATTTCACTCCTCAGATATCAGAAACTCTACAGTAAGGCAGTAGCTGTCTCCAACGTCACTGTGATCGAACATGAGGTGACCTTTGACCCTGGCGCCAGCTGGCTGAAGTTCCACCTGGGAATAAACCGCTATGCTCTGTACTCCCGCAATGACCCTGCTATCCCTCAACTCCTCAAGGACATGCAGAACATGACGGTAGTCAGCGCAGGTGAGAGATGGATGGATGGGATTTCAAAGTTCAGAGGGTGTTGCTGCTCTTTTTTCCCTCTGTGCCTCAATTTGCCTTCACTTTTTTCGTCTGGAATTTCACCATCTGCAGTTGCAAAACATTTCGAGGGTTTAGCTCTGTTTATGCTGGAAAAACAAACAGTTTGTGTTATAGAACAATAACTGTTTATAGCATAAAGGGCAAACAGCAGGTTTTTGACTTAGTAGATGCAATACTAGAAGTTGGAGGCTGATAGTGATGCCAATATTCAGACTAGTTCCATCATGTGTTAGAAAAAAGACTTTTTAAAAACACCTTTATTTATTCAGGGTAGGTCCAATGAGAGGCCACCTCTCTGGAAGCTACCCAGTACAACCACAAACTGACCTGTGGCCAGTGAGCGCACTGGGCACCAGGGTTTTGTTAATGATGGTGAGGCAAATACTGCTTTGTCACCTGTCCCACCCGAATGCGATTCTACCAGTCCAGATACTGAACCAGCCAACCTGCAGTCACAAGCTTGCTTCTCTACCCTTTCTCTAACCTTTTGGCTGCCACATTCCTACATTTAACACCTGCAATTTGCTAAAGGTGCTCTAACAAGCTTATTCTCTTACAGATTACACTCAAGATGAGAAAGCCCTAAAAGGAGAGTGTGATTGCACCCAAGGTACAGTGTGGCCAGTTCACAGCTATGTTTCATGTATTCATTTGACTTTATCTCATATTTCTTGTGTAGCTCTATGTTTTCGTACAGCGTATAACCATGTGAGAGTTCAGTTTTTGACAAACAAACACAGGCATTCATTTGTGTTCAGGCACAGAGCTCTTAATTAAATGTTTGCTGTCTGTATACTCTGAGGGAAGCCGGTATTTTCAGGCTTCAACCTACTGTACAGTCATCTCCCGCTGTGCATCTGAGCTGCAAATGTGTGGGTGAATAATTAAAAGTTACTGACAGTTACTGTAGCAAAAACTAGATGTGGTGTTTAATGGTGCATGGAGCAGAAACGTAGCCAGCTGTTGGTCAAGTATAAACAACACAGCTTTTATATACTTGATACTGCATGTACAGTACAGTAAGTCTGTAGTTTACATTTCACTGCAGAAATATGAATATTAATGCAAAGTTGGACTGCAAAAAGAGCTCAGATATTTCAGTAAATTACTGGTTTTATAGTTTGTATTTCACCACCAGCAATACAAACTTAAACCAATATGGATATGAAGTCAGTTATGTTCCCTGTTTTTGTCCTTTCTGTGCCTCTCCAGTGTCCTTGCACTGTGAAATGGCTGACCACACAGCCTCAGTCACTACCAAGGCAAAAATGCAACAAAACAATCTGCCCCTCCTGTGTAAATTTAACCCCATGAAACGTTCTCATTACTTCAGTAACCAAGGAGTGGACGGTGCTCAATGGCCACAAAGTCTTGGTTTGGCCCCTCTTTGATTCATGTCCAGAAAAAGGGAGAGGGTAAACCCTAAACATGACTATTAATAGGTAACAGAATGCCACAGGGGGAGGCATGCATGTGGCTGGTCTGGCCTAGATAGACAACTAGATGGAGAGAGAGGGGAAGGCAAGTCATTGACAGAGCAGAGCACAAGCTGTGTGACCAACACCAGGGAACAGCAGATCTAGCAATCATTCAACTGTTTAAACTGACCTCAGGGGATTTAAGCAAGAAATTAAACACTAACCTGACTTACCTGATGTTCCGTGTTTACTTTAGTCAGATATTCAACATTCAAACGTACATTTGAGATGCTCAACAGACAGTTTCTGCATACCTTAACAGAAATACAGTATCGAGCGATACAAAATTGCTTGATCTCCACCAGGCATCACTGTCTCATGTAATGCTTCTTTCTCTTTCCATCTCTCTCTTATTCGTAGTGGTGAAACCCAGTGGACATCATCTGAAACTGGCTCTGAAAATGCATAACTTGGCCAAGGCCATGTTCAAACCAATGAGGTGAGAACTAGGTCCACAGTCAAACAACATAAGTGTGTTTCATGTCGGTGCCCGGTAGATAAAACTAAGGTCAAACAACATAAGTGTGTTTCATGTCAGTGCCCGGTAGATAAAACTAAGAAAACATGATACTAACATCCATTAAAAACAGACTCAGTGTCGATACATTGGGCTTCATAACATTATATTACAGTACATCATGTCACATCCTACTGTACGTTAATTTATGTCAGGGTAAATCATCTAGTATCTATAAAAATTACAGCATTCAATAATATGGTTGATCATAAACTTACAGCTGACAGCTAGATATTGTGTGTGTGTCAGGCAGCAGAGAGAAGAGGAGACCCCAGAGGACTTCTTCTACTTTGTCGACTTGCAGCGACACAACGCAGAGATCGCTGCCTTTCACCTGGACAGGTGCAACCTCCTTATCACTCAACAGTTTTTCCTGTTTACCGTCATCCCTATCACACCCTGCATTTTAATGCCTTCTTTTTATGTGGCAGAGGTGCTTAGGGGTAGTTGCACATCTGTCAGTGTATTAGTCCCAGCTATGGCTCTGGTGCATAGTGAAGTGCTACAAATACTTTTTCTCTGGGTCCTTTATTTTAAAGGCACATTTGGTGATGCAAATGTAAAACTAACATCTGCAAGAAAAAAATAGTTATCAGTGGGTTTCCTATGCTTACATGCCTATATGTTTAAATTATGAATAGCTGAGAAACAAATAAAATGCTCAGTTATCATTAGAACTATTTTAGCCACATTAGTTATGGTCTGTTGCTTCATTGTCTTGTAATAACAATGCTTTGAAATTTTGGGTGGCTTCACTTCTGGGAGCCTGTCCATCACTTTGACAGTCGATGGTTCTGACATTCATGAACTGTAATAATGGTGCTGATATTTTAACTTTTCATCTAGCTCTGATGACATGCCAAGCATCGGCATGTCACGGTGCGCGGGTTAGCATGCCGACGTTAGTTGTTGGTTGATGTTTCAAAGTGCCATGACCCAGGCTAAGGAAAGATTACAACACATTTTCTCAGGCCCAGGATTTCTCAACTATCAGATCAGCCTAAACCACAAACACAGTCATCAGTGTGTAACTGTACATTAGGTAAGGTGATTCAGCCATCAGTCATCTGAGCTAGACGGTGTCATTAAGAAGCCACGTCAGTGCTTCACCACAAGACAGAAACCGTTCCAAGTCAACAATTTAATCACTATAATTCCACTAAACAGTTGTTATTATACTGTATATCTGCTTATAGTTAAATATGTTTTTAAATGTAAAAATCATTATTCATCATTAAGAGTTTCTATCCTGAACACAAACAAGACAGATCAGTTCTCTCTCCTACTTTTAATTTATGATGGTGTGTTTTCAATCTGTATCCATGTCTCGTCTCTCTGTTGCCTGTGCTGGTGGCGAGAAGCACTTATCATACTGTTGACAATCAGTAGTTGGGGAATACTGGTGATATAAGAGACAGCAATTCAGCTTCACACACTTATTGTTGTTTGATTACTGTTTCTGAGAGAAGACTGAATTATGGCCCTCAGGGAGGTACTGTATAAGCTCTTGATGAACACAGACAGCTTCAGTATATTACACAGCTGGCAGAGACTGTTAGTGCATTGATAAGAATCAGTAAAAACAAACTCCATTATGTTTACATTGGCGTAAACCTTTTCGTACATTCGCAACAGAGATGACTTCTTTCTATAAGGGTTTCCCCCTGAATCTCATCAAGCTCTTTCTTAGGGTGCTGGACTTCCGGAGGGTCCCACCGGTGACTGGCAGGCTGGTGAATGTCACAGGAGAAATCCTGCAAGTCACCCACAATGAAGACCTACGAGCTGTCTTCTTCACCTCACCAGGTAGAGCAAAAGCAACAGCCCTTCTTTTTTTTTTTTTGGAATAGTATGACATAGATTTTTAGCATGAATACAGTTTTTTGAGAAGTTCCAAGGGTCTTTACATTTTTCTGGTGCTTTATAACTGGTATCGGTCATATTAGTTTTATTTTATATCATGCGTGTAGCATGATATGTGCATTCATTTCTTCGATTATGTTGCTGCGATGTGCCATTATTCACCCCAGTTGGGCAGGAACCACTGTGCAGCAGCGATGTCCCCAGGGAATAAATAAGGAGTGCAACAAAAGTTGGCTAAAGCAAGCACTTGGTTTGCCTCATTTTTACACAAAACATTGAGATTCTTTGTATGGTTTATTATTTCATAGAACAAGGGTATTTCATTGGCTTTTACATGTAATGCAAAAGTGCCACTCCCTGCATGTAACTGCATTTGGATAAGAAAATCATTCTGTATTCTGCTATTTTTCTCTGCTTCCCAAACAGCGAACAACACGTGTTTCTTTGCCAAGTGCCTGTATGTGTGTAAGACAGAATATGCGGTGTGTGGGAGCCCCGACCTGCTGGAGGGGTCCTTGTCTGCCTACCTGCCCGGCCTCAGCATCGGTCCCCGCATCTCCATCCCCAACCCTTGGATACGATCGTACACCTTCACCGGACGAGAAGAGTAAGACCTAAATCTTAGGAGGAATAAAGTTTTTCAGTTTTTCATCATAAAGTATGATACATGATTTGAAAAATTGTATCTCTAGCATGTCGCATGGTGCAAATTGAACATCATAACTTTTACTGAGTGTTAATTAAACTGTGGTTTACATGGCAGTTGGCCTTCAGCAAGATTAGAAGTTGTAGTCTTTTCAAAATAAAATAAAAGGGCAGAGTTCCCATAACTCCTCTTAATGCTGAATCAAATTGGATGTTTGTCTCTTTGGTCGATTACATTTCCAATACAAGGTAAGAGGGTTCTTTTGTACTTTTATCCTTTATTTGCTTCATCATCCATTATTTTGAAACTGACAAAAACAATTAGCACCAGCAACCTCTTCCTGTTCTGTTAAATAAATCAGCTGGGCAGGTTTCTCATTCAATCCACCTCAGTGACAGCAACACAGTAAAAAAAAAACTAGCATTTGCCCATCTTTACAAAGACACAGTTGTGGGGTGGCATCATTAAAGTGTCTCAAAAACAAAATGAACCCAGCGTGGATTGCTAATTTTCAAGTTGTATAATACAGTACAAATTGCAAAGAAAAGTTCTGTAAGGCAATTAAGAGCCAAATATGAAATGTAGCATTGTGAATTATCATTCATTATGTGAAGAATGTTCTGCATAAATCCTTCCAACTGCTCATCTTTATCTGTGTGTGTGTTTTAAAAGGTGGGAAGTGAATCCCTTCTACTGTGACACCATAAAGCAGATGTATCCGTATAACTCAGGCAACAGGCTGCTCAACATCATTGACATGTCCATCTTCGACTTCCTTACGGGTATTTTATTGCACAATGTTATCCACTGCTTGTACGGCCAGCAGACCTTTCACTATCAGAACACATCTTTCCAAACGTTGCTGTACAGGTTTTGACTCTGTTGCAGGCAACATGGACAGACATCACTATGAGATTTTCACCAAGTTTGGGGATGAAGGATTCCTCCTCCACTTGGACAATGCCAGAGGGTAAACAAACAAAAACAAAACAAAAACAAAAACATTTTTGAGCATTCAAATTTTGTAAAACTGTTTTATAGTGTGGTTTATGTAGCACAACATCCTGTGTTCAGGTTTGGGAAGCACTCTCAAGATGAGATGTCCATCCTGGCGCCGCTGTCTCAGTGCTGCATGTAAGTCTAATGTGACCCAGTGCAGTGGAATCAGCTTTTAAGGATTTTAAATGGAAACTGTTTCATATCAAAATTGTGTCTATGCAATTTGAAACAATGCCTGTTTTTTATGGAATTTACCCCCCAAAACCTCAAGACACCTAAACAAAAAGTATTGCCCTGTTGTAATCCTGTATTCACTCTTCTGCAGGATAAAGCACTCCACACTGCTGCGGCTCCACCTCCTGGCTCGGCCAGAGTTTCGGCTCAGCGATGTGATGAGGGAGTCCCTGCAGGGCGACCCTTTGCGGCCGGTCCTGACGGAGCCTCACCTCCTAGCGCTGGACCGCAGGTTACAGAAGGTCCTCCGAATGGTGCAGCACTGCATCCGGAGGCTGGGCAGGGATGAGGTGGTTACCAAGGACTTTGTCAAATCCACAGCAAGATCACAGACTCCCACAGATGCAAAGAAGGACAGGTAGCACAGGATGAAATGTGTCGGCCCTCTCTGTACCACAGAAAACTTCATGATGAAACACAGTCAGCTTGTGAGCCAACAAGGATCAGATGGATTTGATTTAAGGAACGCTGAAATCTTCAGCAGGGAGGAATCTCATTGTGGAGGTTCAGAACTTGAAGCACTACAGGCCTCAGATTCCACAGATGGAGCCAAGCTTATTTCCTTGTTTCTTTAATAATCATAGATCCATGCGCACATAGATTTGGGTGGTTGGAGAACTAGACATTTAAATCATTAATTAAAGACCGGTTTCACCAGAACAAATTAGCTAGGAGAGTCAAAACTAAGTATCAAGGAGTACAAGAGATTTCATTCATAGATGAAGCAGTAGGCACTTTCTCACTGTCATACACATAATCAGCAATGAAATCAAGTTAATGACATTCTTCATGCGAGAGAGCAATGATACACTGAGTCAGTCGTTTATTACATGAATGCTGGTGAACATCGTGACTGTAGGAAGAAATATGTCCATGAGATGTGGCAATTCTGAAATAAAGTTACTCTATGTGATGACAAATAACAGAAGTGTAAGTTGCTGTGTGTGTGTGTGTGTGTGTGTGAGTGTGAGAGAGAGAAAAGTGCCACCTATTAAACAGCCATTTAGTTTACTCCACCCCGTTTTCCAGACTTGTAATCCTCCCATCTCATCTAAGTGTTTAAAAAGCTTTACATCATGGTCAACTAAAACCAGCTGATACAGAAATAGTAAGCACAAAGCAACTAACAAATGTGTGTCATAACATCCCACCTCAATAATTCTAAACCAAGCCAACATTCCTCAGTTTTCAACTTGTTTTCCTCTGTGAACATGTCTGAGCTTTGGTTTCTGTTATTCTCTTTGTTCTTATCCAACCAACTAATATGTTCCAGTTCTCTGTACATGATGTCAAGGAAGACAAAAAAACCACAGCTCCTTTTTAGGAGATTTTAAGAATTGGTTAATGCTGTCAAATACAGTCAGACAATGGCCATGAATCTTTTCTGAGCAGCGTCATGTCGCCCCCTAGTGGACACAGGTCATAGATCTTTTCGTACATGCCACCTGTTCTCTAGCCTCAGTCAGTTTAACCCAGTTTTTGCCTTCCACACCCAACATTGATGAGATTAGACTGAAAATGTTAGTGGATTCATTGATTACTCAACTGACAGAAAAAGAAACACTAATTTGAAAATCTATTCATGTTTTAAGTCACTTTTGCAGGCATGAATAAACAGCTTTCCAATTGTGAATATATTCTGCCTTTCTCTTCTATATATGCTTCCAAAATATAAAATATGTGTGGGTCAGATCATTGGTCAGACAAAAAAAAAAAAAGGACATGAAGATGTCAATCTAGACCGGACATTTTTCACTATTGGCTGATGTTTCATAGACCAAACAATTACTATATTGATGAGCAGATTAAGCTTTCGTTGAAGCTCTAGGTAGACTGTCTTCCTAACAAATTCCACATCATTTTAAACCAGTTAATTACAAGTACAGTTTCACTAATGAATCAATTACATAACTCAGAGCATCATGAACTCAAACACCATCATCCCAACAGTAACACAGCCAATGTTTAAGACAAAAGTCTTAAAAAAAAACCAGACAACACTGAATCATTTTTACTTTTTTATTGCTTAAACTGCCATCTGGAACAATCTATACCAAAAGGATAAACATCTTTGCACATACAGGAAGTCAAACTGAATACACGGTAGAATAGAAAAAGAATGGTCCTCTGATCACCTGCAGCTCTTGTGCACTACAGGCCTAACAAACTCACTGAAGTCGGGCTAGCAGGAGTGACGGACAACTACTGTAAACCCAGGTTAGGTAAGCTAAGGCATACCGGGACGACTGCAGTGTGGCTAAAAACGTTTTGTACTAAAACCGACGATGTTGTTTACAAGAAAACAACATTTCAACAAATGGGAGTCAAACCCTCGTCCCTAACGGAGTCATTTCCTGTGGATCAGGACAAACAGAATGTCTCAGTGAACACAAATCTGCATGTACCCACATCCACAAGGATAACCTGAGTGTTAGGGGGGAATAAATGGAGATGCTCAATTTAACTGTAAAGAAATATACATTCACGTCCATTAACAAAAACTCTCATCACTAACCTGGCTACCCAGCAATCGGCACCAAAACGTTTTGGATCCACAAGCATAAATCTCAATGCAAAGCACATGACACGTGCCCTGAATGAGGCAAAACAGAAACGTGACTGTTTCTAGGTTTTCTGGTTAATGGACAGTGAGGCCTATAATTCAGAAGTCAACATCGTGTGAGGATCTTTTAGAAAAAGACAAACTTAACATTTTATGCCACCTAAATAGTCATGAAGCAGTTAAGCTAAGGAGTAACAAACCAAATATCTGACAGTTCCTGCTTCTGCACACAGCTGCAGGGCACTTCTTTTTTTTGTTTTTTTAAATCCACGCTCCCATTCATACCAGATCACTGGATGGCTAAAACATCATGCCAAGTAAGCATATAGAACAGATCACAAGCTACTGTGATGAAAAGACAGCCACCATTTCAAACAGGCAAAAAGCAATGACGCTAGTTTTAAATAAATATTTGCTCACTCTGCCTGTCAGCTCGCCTGTGAAGCTTTAATACATAAATACTTCAGCTGTCCTGAACATCCATAAACCAGGTTTTCTTCTCCCCCAAGACCAGTCTTCAGCAAATCTGTAATTACCCTTATGTTCTAGTTTTAAAACATTTTAACCCATGATGTTGTACACAATACAATTACATACTGTTTTGTCAGTTGACAAGAAGAAGCATTTATTTACTTTGTGGCACTGGACAACTAAAATAGAATTTATGGAAAAGTGTTTACAAAAGACAGTTTAACATATTTTTAAGATCACCATCACTCCAAACCATAGGATTATCATTTAATTGATGATAATAATATTAACTATGATCATTTTAACTATACTATGATAACATTTTAATGACAAACCATAGCAGAAGAGTGACCAGGTTATTTGGTATATACTAAAAATGTTCAACACTGAAATACATTTAATACTCCTTTTTTTTTTACTTTAATTTTTATTTATTTTTTTCCTCAAAGTACTCAAGGCAGTTCTTGATTGGTTGTTCTACAAATTAAGAGGACAATAAGGGTAATAACTACTTCATGTTTGAAGCTCCAAATAGTCAGGGGACAGGACATGCGCTGCATTTCTACAGCTATGCATCTTTGCGTTGTGACAATAATCAACATTTGGCACTAGCCTGGCAGCTGCACAATAAAATAAACTCTCAAGTTGTACAAGCTCTCTCAAACTAAGCTCCACATACCTCATAACCAAAAATGGAGCTGTGTATCACAGCTGAAACTAAGTTCGATGCACTCATGTTCATCATTCCTTCTACAGTTTTTAGGTTTTGCTCTAATCAGGCTAACTGATGTCAGAAAGCAAACTCTTTAATGGGGAAGAAGCAGTCCTATCCACTTCACTCAACAACTTAAATCTGTAACAAATTCACCAAAAGCGCCATTTAAAATGTGATTGTCCTGTCTCATCAGTCTGAGACCCTAAAGTCTTTCAGATCCCCTAACAATCCTGCTTTCTGTTAAAGTCTAAAAAGAAAGTGTAACCATCAAATACATACAAACATAAGTAATGTGATGTAACTGTGCCTACAAGGTAGCATACAGCAGCTGGTACAAGCGCTGGTGAATGGCTAAAAGTCACCTCAGTGTGACAGGTGGTAACAACAAAACGATCTGTGTGTAAAACAAAGAGGGAGGGGAAAGAAAGTGAACAGAAAGAAGAAGAAAGTGAGAAAAAGTAAATTGCATTGGTGGACCCTGGGTCTAAAAGGAGAGAAGAGGGGAAAAAGAGTGAAGGGGGATTCAGACAGACAGCGAGACGAAGCTGTTGTACTGTTGGATGTTACGTTTGAGAATGTCTGAACAGGGACCCAGGACGCGCTCGAAGCGGGGCCGGTCGAGCTTGACGCACTTCAGGGGGCCTCGGGCAACCACAGTGGCAGCACGGGGGCGGTTCATCAGCAGAGCAATCTCACCTGCAAGACAAAGAGGGCTGACTTTACTGGAATTGATTTTGGTGTGGTCAATAATTTATGCAATTTTAACATATCTCCAAGTTAAAAAAACAACAACACAACTTTAAGTCGTTTTTGTAACTACAAGAAGCCTAGTCACAGTATATGGCTGTAGTCAGTTAATGCCATTATTAGTGCATTTTCCCCTTTCTTTACTTAAAACAATGCCACTAATTAATTAGTTATAGGTACAGTACAGTTGGTGTTCCTGGAAAAACCAGCAAGAAGAAACTCCATAATGAAAGAAGACAACACAAGAAATCTCTCCAAAGCCACTCAAAAACATACGGACACGTACTGCCTGACTACGGAGGAGGATTTTTTTTCTACAGGTGAGAGCATTGAAAGAGGATCACTGCATCTCGAAGTATTATTGATGGCTCTAATGAATATAAACAATGAACATGGCAGTGTAATGTTAGCTAAAATTAGCGTTGGGCTAATATATACATAAAAGTTTTATTTATTTATATTTCACTTGTATTGTGTGGCATTCATGTTGACGGCAGAGTAAGAATTTCATTGTACAGGGAAACACGTTTTCTAACTGTGCATATGACAAATAAACACTTTGACCTTTGAAAAGTTTTGTTGGCCAACATTACAGATTTCAGGACAATAAACCCCTCCCCCAAACAATAAAAAACAAACAAACAAACAAAACAAACAAAACAAAAACAATAATCACCTGTCCAGCAGAAATATGGCTACCATGGCGTCACTTTTCAGCACCTTTTGTTCTCACAATTGTCACCATCATTCAAAAGCCACACCAGTGTTAATTCTGGTTTTACTTCTTGCAGCATCCAACTTCTTTTTAGTTGTAACTTTCGCAATTACAAACCTCCGTCTGTGACCGAAAGCTGCTGTGAGTACCTTCTCTGCCATAGCTCACTAGCTTTAGCTAAAAAAACAGAGCAGAAACATGTCTGCCTGCAACGCCTTGTGGTGAGACCTGGTTTGCACAAAGAGTGCAAGGGCAGAGTATAAAGTTAAGCTGACAGACAGGCAGGTCATCCAATGGTTTTGCTTGGACTGAGTAAAATTACTGCTGCAACAGGTGATTGATTTTTTTTCCTTTATGTTGTCAGTAAATTTAATGAATTCATAATGATTGGAATGAAAAGAGAATTTCAAGAAATGTAGCCAAAAACTGCTTCAGATTTGAATTGCCAACCCTTTAACTAAATGAAATAACAAACGGCTTATCTTACCAAAGTAGTCAGATGGTCCTAATCTTCCCACTTCCACAAACTCCTCGTTCTCTGAGCGACGCTGTAACACAGCTGCAGAACCCTGAATCACACACACATGCACAGATCGTTTTGGAACAAGCATCTCCAAACTTTAGTTTCATCTGTACTTGTATCAGAAGAAAAATCATCTTCACAAAAGTGCATTTTCTAAGTAGATGAATGATCCAATACTATTAAATAGGTTTTTCAACATTGCTCTCTGAGTTTCAAGTTAAATAACTATCAAACATGAACTAAAACTCTTCATGAGTAACAAAAATTTATGACATCCCACATTTAATCATCATGAGCATGCATAGTGGCATAACACTTTTTGATAGTGTTACTGATTAAATTTATGGATACTACAGTCACATATTGAAATGGCATTAAGACAACATTTTCAATCAATTAAACAAATTAGGGTCAGATTATTGGAATATTTGTGTGTGTGTGTGTGTGTGTGTGGATAAACCACTGGTTACAATCATTCAAGATTTAACAGCTCTAACAACTGTTTGATGAAACCTGGATAACAACCAAATATATAACTGATTAAATAACAACAGTGATGAACACCCCAACAACACCAAAGAACTGTGCTAGCACACAGCTTAGCATAGCATCTCTCCAGAATACTTGAGAGGTCAAAGGCAAAACTCTGATACTGAAGACGCCAGTGAGAGAGAGTGATCAAGTAGATACCTCTAAGATGATGAAGAACTCATCTCCGGGTTCCCCCTGCACAACAATCTTTTGTCCATCCTCAAACTGGACGGGCTCCAAAGCATCAGCGACTGTCAGACGCTCCCATTTGTCAAGAGACTCTGAGGAGGAAGAACACATAGGAATATTTTCAGCTCAATCAATATACCCTAAAAAAAATTTGAAAGTTTGAGTCTGCTATTATTTTTAGGTGAGATATTTCTATACATTCCTTCAGGTTACTTTAATCTCAGCTCCAAACAAAAGTAATATGTTTCTGTTCTTCTATTTTGAAATTTTGGGATGAGGCTGATTTTAAAGCTTCACCCACCTAAAATGGACACTTTCCTGAGGAATTCTTCATACATCTTCCTCTTTCTCAAAGTGCTTCCCTAAAGAGAACGATATTGTTAGTGCAATTGTGTAAAAATGAAACCAAAGACAGTTTGTTGTAAGCTCAGGCGTTTGAAAATAAGGCATGTCACACCTGGCACTGCAGTAAATTAAATATAAACAGTGGTCTTCCTTTGCATCACGGGTGTCCTCACCATAAGTATTCTCCTGTAGCTGTCTCTGTCGATGCCCCACAGTTTCACATTGGTCTTGGCTCTGACTGTGGCTGCCCTCGGGGTTCCGTATATCAGGGCCAGCTCTCCAAAACTGCCTCCTTCCCCAATGCTGGTCACCCATTCATTGTTCACATAGACCTGTCAGATTAGCAGGGGAGAAACCAGGCTAGTAGATTACAGCAGTTTATTTCTGTAAAAGGAAGAACTTGATGATATTTGTGTTAGTAGATGAACATTTTCTTCTACAAATTCCACGACGAGTATCAGATACTCACATCCATCTCCCCTTGGTCGATAACATAGAAATTATCACCTTCGTCACCTGGGTGCAGACAACAATGCCACTAGCATCACAATCACAAAAAAAAAAAAATGCTTTGATGTTCATCTAAACACACAAAAATATAACCTTACCCTGCAGAATAACGGTTTCTCCAGCGATGTAAGTGACTGGAAACATTGCATCGAATATGTCGCTGGAAAGGAAGAGATTTGTAAGTCGATAAAAAAATGGTTAGCCAGTTATCCAAACTTAGGTCATGAAACCTTTGGAAAAGAAACACAGTTTCAGACATGTACCTCCTTTCATTGTCATCCAGGTGTGAGAACAGCACATTCTTTTCAATAGCTTTGGCCAAGGCTGCCATTGTCTTGTAATCTTTAGGAATAACCTTAAAAAGACAACACGTACACATAAATGTTACATGTTAGGATGTTTTCACTCAGTTAAGTAAACTTCTTATATCATAACTGACAGTATCAGAGCGCTGATGTAGATTTATGTGTTGCAACACTCTTCTTGACTTCATCGCTGTGTGTGTTTGTCTACCTTTCTGACATATGAGGCTGCATCCTCCTCAGTGTAAACCTCTGCGCTGAAGGCTCCTCTCCGCCGGCGACCCTTTACCACAGGGTTCATGGGTGGAGACACTTCCTCATCGCGTGAATCTGAACGGGAGCTGCTGGCCTTCTGCTGGTTCTGAATCTGCTTGGCCTCCTCCTGGGAGGTAAGGTTGTGATTTGGTCAAGTAAGTTCATGGTTATTCATGTGTGCAACAAAAAGCTATGCTACGCACTTCACACATTATATAAAGACATAAAACACAAAAAGAACACGAAACATCACATTTGCTAAATAAAAGTCCTATATTTAATCCACTGATCAAATAAAACAATGGCTAAAAACAAATGTGAAGTTCCTCCTTAATGTTTTTTCCCCACTAGGGCTAAAAACATACATTCAAACATCTCCGAAGTCAAGTTTCTCAGTTCTTTGCCTTGGAATAAGTAATAATACAACCAGAGGATTTGAAGAGTACTGTCAGGTGAGCATCTAAAAAACTGATAGTAATAAATGATGGTTAAAAGAATATAACCCGTCTTGAATGAAGAGGTAGCCAATTATGTGAGCAGCTTTCTAACACAAGCAGTAGTTGCTGGAAAATTCTGACTAATTCAAAGTAATACTAACTAAAAATGTGGAATTTCAATTAATGGATGTGCAATTGTATGCTTTTATGTAATTTAATAAATCAGTACATCAAGCATTACTAGATTTTACTGATATTTATATTAAATGCAGCCTCTGGTATGAACATGGGTGTACGCTACAAAGCTTGATTCGCCACATTCAAAAACTGTGCATAAATTTTACAGAAAAATGTTACAAAAATAATATTTTATGCACAGACACACAACAAGTGGTATTAAAGTCTAATCAAATATAAATGAATAAACATAGTTTATCAAAGAAAACGTAAGCTGGGTTAAGGGACAGTGACTCTGCTGAAATGTAAGAGTATATGATGCTCAGCTTTCACTAAATATGATTTGCTTCCTCTCCATTGACCAATAAAGACAAGAAAACAAGCACAAACCTTCTCCTGCCTTTCAAAGTACTCCCTGAGGAAGGCCATGGGCCTATCTGGTCTGGAGGTGCACAGCTGGACAATGCAGTCCTTCAGCAGCTGTTGAATGTTATGTTTCTGCACATACTGCTCACACTCCCTCAGGCTCCGCTCCTCTTCGCTGCTCGTACTTCCAGAAGCCATGACAACAACCTCAACCCTGTTCTGTGACCTCGAACCTTTGTACTGGGAAGAGTGGACAGCAATGGGGAAAAAGGAGCATGATTTCATGTCATCAATGTACAACATTGTGGGTTCCAGAGAACAACATGGGGTAAAAGCATCTGTCGGGGTGGGAAACGGACAGACAGAAAATGTGAGAAAACTAGAACAAGATTGAGAAGGCTTGGAGAGATGAGGTGTTGTGTTGGCACTATGACGCCTGAGTGCTTCCAAGTGTCAGGAGTGAAAACTGGTAATATGATGTGATCACACATATGTGATTACAGACAACAAACTAAGACATAAACACTGTCTGCCCTGGCCTGGCTTTATTTACGACAACTTGAGACAATTTAAGTTTTTCACTAGAACGAAGACCTGTATTAGAGAGACATTAACTAGAAATGGCTAAGACAGTAAAATATCAAAAGCATAATTTTAGATGAATGGTAAAATGAAGGCCAGTGAATCAATTCACTGAGAAATAGATAAAAAGAGACCAAAACAAGTGCACTTGCTTGAGGTTTCAACATTTTAGGCCACAATCATCCTGCTGAGCAAAACAGCCTGACAGATCCCCAGATCATCTGATCAGCCTCCCTCTGTGATATGAGCTTCCTCAGATACCCTCGAGCTTGTACTAGCTGTGCAGTCTAAAACAGGAAGGCCTCTAAAGCCTTGTGCTGTTGTAACTAACGTACATTTTAGAGGACTACATGAGTAAACAAAACGATCAGGAGTGGAGCAAACAAACTGATCCATCCTGCCCATGCATGTGCATCAGTATAATAGGATTCAGATCATTTCTAATCTGACAAGCACAGGGAATATTACAAGACATGTTAACAAAGATGAGTCTGGCACTGCCTTTATGCAACCAATTACACAAGGTAGAAACTTGGCAAGCTTGCTTTAAATCTACCACAGGAATAACTAAGTGATATACGATACTGTTTGCAGACCAGATGGTATAAAGTGAAAGACAGACAACATCCAAAAAGAAGGCTCTTCTGTCTTATACAACTATCAAAGTCCTATTTTGCTTGAAATATATTACGTAGTGAAGGTATACAAACATTATGTTAATTATTTAGTTCAGTTACTGAGCTACACCATCACATCTGCTGTCGACGAAGCGGTCTTTTAATTAAATTAAATAAAACACTGCGATGCACAAATGACCTTGCTGACCTAGTGACAGCGGAGTATGCCGGAGGATGGATGTTAATATAATACATCTTCTGGTCTGCAAACTGAGTAAATGCAAGAGACACTATGAAGCAAATGTCCTGTCTGTAACAACGACTAACGTTAGGTCAGGAATGCTTCGTGAGGAGGCTGACGGCTGCAGCCAAGTAACTTAACGGCAAGCAGACTAATGTTGAAATACTACCCACCCTATACTACAATTAAACACCAAACACAAACACGTCTTATACTTTTGCTTAACAATTTTTGGCCTACGTTATGTCAGAATGTGCGTCTGGTTAGACGCACTTTAGTTTGCTAGCTCCGTGCAAAGGCAAAGCTCTCCCCAAATGACGCCATCTTGAGTTCTATCATAAACAAACGAGAGACGAAGGTAACAAATTTCACCTCTCCATAGGTCATATTTCCCATGAACTAAAACAACACAAATACTCACATGAAACCGTAAACTTCTGCCGAGCCCTTTAACAGCGACTCGGGATGAACGATATTTCTCAAAGCGTACCGTTACCAGACTCTGCTCGCTTCGATTTTTTTTTCCCGAGCCCTGGACCGCTGCCCCACCGGATACGACTGAGAACCAATCAACAGCCGTCACTGACGTCAATTCTCCTCGTTCTGACATGTGAGCCCGTAACCCTTGACAACCTTAAAGAGAACCGCACGGAAACGGTGACGCCAAGGAAATAGTTGAAAAAAAAATCGCTTGAAATCAGATTAAAACGCGGCTAATTACAGGAATCTCGCTGCGTTGTTTTTATTTTGACACGCGTAAACACCCCTGGTTCACAGCAGTAGGCATGGGCTTCTTCAGATTTGGAGGGTATTTTAGTTGATGAAGGCATTTTCGCACTTAGGGGACACTGGGGACAGACTGGAAGGGAAGTGAAAAGTCGGAGGTGGATTCCCCAGAGTGCGGAGCCCTACCAGATAAATAAATTCTCATAGGAATATTAAGAAATTGCACAGAGTTGTCTCTTTCATTTACACACCAGAAGAACATTTAAATAACATGCAACAGTGATTGCAATAGCAATTGCATTTAACTACACGAGTTCATAGGAGGTAGAATATTACGGTGGCCGACACGGTCACAACACATGCAAAAGACACAACACATGCAAGACACCGTAGAATATACTATAAATTATGCACATGATGCACGAATCCGTTACTTGGTTAAAAGTAGTAATATACAATTAAAATACTCAGCTACAAGTATGTTCTGCTTTTAGCATAGCCTGTTAGTTACATAAACGTACAGAGTACTTAATAAAAATTTCAGAAGTTAAAGTGTTAGGGCCAAATAGACTATGCTCCGTGAATGTTAGGCATTAAAGGATTAATGGGTTTTAATGTTATAGCTAGTCGAGATGCAGCTAATTTGAGCTGATTTATATTATACTGGCTCGTTTAAAGCATGTAAGAAGGCATCATATTTGATAAGCTAATTATATGTCTTGTATTTTTAAAACTACATATGCAGACTACCAAGTAGCCTAACTAAAGTTGTCAGATAAATGTAGTGAATTAATTTCACTCTCTAAAATATAGTATAGGGCTATACAGTAGCACGAAATATGAATACTTCAGTGAAGTACGCCACAAGCACTTCCAAGTTGCACTTTAGTACATGAGAACTGGTGTAATAGTACTGAAAAACGTTTGTTACATTGTCAGAAACCCCATTACTAGGTTTATCTGCATTGCCATTGCTATAACTTTCTCTTTCTATCTATCTCTCGCTCTCTTTTTGGAAAAAGGTCATTTTTTCACGTCAAATAAGATATACAAAGTTTAAATACAAACAACTTTAACATTTTTTACTAATTTATTTTGTCCAACCTGTCTTACAATTTGACATCCGCTCCAGTTACAATTTGACATCCGCTCCAGTTTGGCATCCGCTCCAATTTGACATCCGCTCCAGTTTGACATCCGATCCAGTTTGATGTGTCGCGGTTTTAGTAGTGAAAGAGCCTGATACAAGTCAACAATTGCTCGTGACAATATCGAACATATAATTGGCCGATACACGGCCAACCAATAGGCGGATCTTGTTTAATTGACAATTGTGGTGTCAAATCAACCAGATGCTTTAAACTGCTCGACCAATAGAAAGGCCGGAGACGAACGTTTGACGTGTTACCTTCAGCCAATCATGATACAACTGTGACGCTTCCTCCCATCAGCTGTTTTTGTTTTGCTGGCTGCATATTGGAAGTTAATAACATCATCATAACAGTGTGGACTGAAACCACTGGTTACGGAGGCGCTGTCGTGGATCTTTTCTCCTGTTTAGGTTCGGGACAGTTCAATTTGTGATGTATGTCATCCGAGTCTGACCGGACATTCCTGGAGAGTGTGAGCGTGGCGCTTGGAGCCGCGGAACAGAACAGGGGAAGCGGGTTCCGGTGGGGATCGACCCGAGCCCAAGGCCCCCGACCTCAGGCAGCGAGAGGAAAGGGATTTTGGACGGCCGGATGGAGTCCCAAGACGGACCGGACGACTCCAGAATGCATCGAGGCTTCATCTGTGCCTCGTTTAACCAGGATACCACGTAAGCAACCCACGGGCCGGGCCCAACATGAACTCAGTCATCTCCTTGATGCACTAGATCATTGCATAATGATTTTAGCAGCATTTACACGGTATGGTTCAATTTCTGGTAATGTGTAAACGTCTGTGATTAGGAAGAGTTACGTGTGCGTCCAGAACGGAACTACGAGCTTTTGTGTGCCTTAAACTTCTAGATGGGTCCCGGCAGGGAAAGGGGTAGGCCACTGTGTTATTCATCAAGGCCTGTTGTACATTTACCTAGTCAGTTAATAAGCAAACTGAATGTAGGGAGGCCTTTTCAAGTGTCTCACACGTCTCCTGCTTATCTCTTCCTAGATGCTTGATCAGTTAACATACTGTTGTATGATCATTTCTGAAGTAATAGCAATATTACTGAAAGCAGCTTTACAACCGGTAAAAATGGGTGTTTTCCCGAATCCCTAGTATGGTTAACCACTAGCCCCTGTGATGTAGGTGTCCACTGTACCAAGATTAGGGCTTATAAGAGGGTAAATAATGAATTAACATAGAAATGCGGACCGATTGCTTAACTTAGAGGTGTGCTTCTTTACACAAGCATCTCCTCAGACTTCCACTGTAAAACTAAACTTGTGGCCAAACAGTCAAACTGGGCTTCTTATCTCGGTCATCATGTCCTTTTCGTTTTCAGCCATGATTTAAAAAAAGGCAAGTTTCTTTGAGGTAATTAACAGATTTTAATGGAATCTGCATTAATTCTGTGTCTAATTAAGATGAGATAGACATATACTCTGTGGCCTCAAAGCACCTCCTCAAATGTGGAAAAGTCTGGATCTGACCTGGTAATTGCCTCCTGTCGATCAGATCTCATGCTACTATTACAGCAAAACCAATGTCAGTCATCTGATTTCGCACCATTTCTTCAAAGGAAACTAACAAGCATAGATCCAATGGCATAAAGCATCAGGTGTGTGCAGTACAATACTAGAAAATGTATGTATGCATGGATTTTCAATTTCAGTTTACTCTTCCATTTAGCCAAATCCATTCACTCAAATGTTCAGATAATAACAGACAAAATAAAGTTTTCTATTTATATATTTTCTTTTTTTCCTGTTACATGAAACAGTTTTATAAATGTTTAAGCATTGTGATTAAAAATGTGTTGTTTTTTGTGTTATAAACGGTGGATATATCTCATTGTGTTTTGTGTGTGTGTGTGTTTTTACTGTAGTTCCCTGTCAGTGGGCACTAAAACAGGCTACCGGCTTTTCTCAGTCACTGCTGTGGACAAACTGGACTGCATCCATGAGGGAGGTAAGATGGAAACTGTTCAGTTTTAGTTTACTCATCAACATTAAGAGTATATTGACACATGACAGCTCCCCTGGTGAGGCATATCAACACAATGAACCACGCATGTTTGATAGCTTATTTATTATATGTGCACAGTGACACATTAGCATCACCTTCCTAGGGTGACATAGCTTCATGGTAACAGGAGTCTGTACAGTATTATTTGAGCTCAGGTTCACCTTAGTCATACACAGCATGTTTGCTCTGCACCATAACATGTTGAAAAAGGGATTAGAAAACAGATTTTGCCTCAGGGGAAGGGTTAGAAGCTGCAAGAAAAGAGAAGGTTTAGAGTCAGTTTGAGGAAGTTGGAGCTCAGTAGTGTTCTCATTATGCAGCAGTTTCTTTTCATATAATATGGGTTACTGTAGTTAGCAAAAAAGCATAGTGTATAATATTAGTAAAGCTATTAAAGTGGAGCAAATTGTATTGGAAGTTAACAACAGGAAGAGGCAGGACATGCCTTTCTGAATATGCTCTACACACACTGGTGACATGAGCTTATTAGTTAGAAGCTCCTGGCAGTTTCCAAGGTTTCTGTTTCTTGTCCCTCTCTCAGTTGAGTGTCCGGACGTGTATATAGTGGAACGTCTTTTCTCCAGCAGTCTGGTGGTGGTGGTCAGTCTGTCCATGCCACAGCGAATGAATGTTTACCACTTCAAGAAGGGCACAGAGATTTGTAACTACAGCTATTCCAACAACATCCTCTCCGTCAGGCTCAACAGACAGGTAAAAACAAGAACTGGATCTCTTCATACCTGTAATTATTCTGGCTTTTGCGGTCAAGTATTATCGGTTATGCTAATCTCCCTGTTGTTTGTTGCTGTCACTCACACGTCAACATTAGCGGCTGGTGGTGTGCTTGGAAGAATCTATCTACATCCACAATATCAAAGACATGAAACTTCTCAAGACCCTGCTCAACACACCCACTAACCCCTCAGGTACATTCAAGATGTTAAGCAAAGCAGAAATTTCTGGCATAACTTCGCCCACTGCCAAGGTGCATATATGAAGGAAACACAAACTGGAAAAGCAAAACTTCCAGCAACACTTGTATTGTATAGAGCAACTTTAATGTTAAGACCAGCACGTATCGGCTTGTAGTCTTCATCAGTAAAAAGAGTGAGCATGTCTTAGAACCACATAACAAAGAGTCTATTAACACTTAACAGATCCTGATGAAGGGTACAAGCCAAAATGCATTGGTCTTAACAATAAAGTTGTTTTATACACTGCAAGTGTTGCTGGACTTTTTACCTTTACACTCAATATGTTACACAGATACACTACCAATCAAAGGTTTGGACACTTTCACATTTAATCCAATGGGAAAGTGTTGACTGGTAGTGTGTATATACATACGGTATATAAATAATACAAACAGTGTGTACATTAAATCCCACTATAGCCACAAGAAACAGGATAATGGTAAATGCAAATATGAAGTGTGATAACGGCACAAACAAGACAAGAGTCTTAAAGTCAGAAAACTGACTATCAGTAATATCAGTTGTAAATCAATATCCACCTATATATTTTGGTAAGATTATCCACCAGAAGCTACTGGTCATATCACACCAAATAAGGCTATTAGCACTAAGACTACAGAAATGAGCAAGAGTGCATGAAGAATGTGTCATTTCTTCCAGAACTTGTATAGTGTTGCCTGAAAGTTCCTTGCCTAAATGCATAATACCAGCATGGCAGAATAAATAGATACACAAAATGCAACATACTCTGTATTAAGATGTATCATTTTTATTGGCTACTTTTTACTAACAGGCTACATTACACAGTGAGTATCTATCACTGGGGTGAAAATAGCCAATGATATCTTTGATTTTGGAGTTTTCATAGGTCCAGCAGATAGATAATCACAAATACCTTATATATATATATGTACATATATAAATACAAATCTAGCTCCATTGTGAAACAAACAATAAAACTGCTCCAATAGGAGTGTTGAATAAAAAAAATGGGTAAAAACGAAGAAGAACGAAGAACAAAATAAAATAAAAAACTGCCAAAATTATTCTCGGTACTCCCTTGTAGGTCTCTGCACTCTCTCTGTCAACCACAGTAACTACCTAGCATACCCTGGCAGCACCACCATCGGAGAGATCACAGTCTACGATGCCAACAACCTGGTGAGGCTGCATTTAAACTCTAACATAGCAACAAAGCAAATATGCAGCTGTTGTCATGTTTCCTACAAACCCCATGGGGGAAAGCAGCGCTGTGCTGATGTCATTAGAAAGTGCTTGTTTGCCCCTGTAGAGCACTGTGACGCTGATCCAGGCCCATGACAGTCCCCTGGCAGCTCTCACCTTCAGTGCCTCTGGCACCAAACTGGCCAGCGCTTCAGAGAAAGTGAGGACTTGATTCCTTTTTTTTATCCCTCCTTCTCTTTTATTCCCCACCAGCATCTGTTTGACCATTTTCTACACTACAGGGCACTGTCATCAGAGTTTTCAGCATTCCCGAAGGACAGAAACTGTTTGAATTTCGGCGAGGGATGAAAAGGTTATTGTTCATATTTTTGTGTAGTTTAATGAGAAACTAGGGTCAAGCATATTGTATGGACAAAATGATTCATAGTTGTTGTATGTCAGAGGTTAAAAAGAGCTAATGACAGCGGTTCAAATTTCTCAAAAGTTAGTGTTAAGGTATGGAAGACACTTACTGTAGCTTCCACTGTCTTTGACCCAGTATCAGCAATTAAGACTGCTAGCCTATGTGAGCAGCTCAGTGGTGGAAACATCTGAATAGGTGACTCTCACTTAAAACCTTTTAGCACTCAGACAATATGGTAGATCCAAAATGTGTACAAAAGTGTACATTTAGGCTAAATATGGTCTTAAATTATGCTTATACAGTAAATGGGCTGATCACTTCTGAAACATCAGTCATGCGTTTCTGTAGTACATCCTTGTATTTAATGTTTTCAGTAAACTATGTTCACCTAATCTTGCTTGTTTTGTTGTTTCCCATCTGTTGTCTGTGTGTCAGATATGTTAGCATTAGTTCACTGTCCTTCAGTGCAGAGGCTCAGTTCCTCTGTGCCTCCAGTAACACTGAGACAGTCCATATCTTTAAATTGGAGCAGCACAGCCCCAGGTAAGTACTTTCACCCAGGCCAAAATACACCCTGGTATTTTATGTCAATGGGGGATTTAATTAAAAAAAAATCTTCCTTTTGAGCATATTAATTTGCATAATACCCCCCAAAAATAATAAAGATGATTTCTCTGTATTATAAGTCTACATTGTTTACAGACAATGCATCAGAGGACCAACACCCTCTGTTACATCTCCAATGTAAAGCAATCCAGTAATGTTCTGATTAAATTCAACTTTTTTGTAATTATACAGGAAAAAACTCCCATGTCTCTAGTGGTGATTTATCTTTGCACCTTTAAACATGTTCTTGTTCCAGCCAAGAGGAGGAGTCTCCTACATGGTCAGCGTACGTGGGCAAAATGTTCACAGCAGCCAGCACCTACTTGCCTGCCCAGGTGTCCGACATGATGCATCAGGACAGAGCCTTTGCCACTGTGCGACTCAACATGTTCGGTCTAAAGAACATCTGCGCCCTGGCCATGTAAGGCAGAGTGAGAAAGAGAGACAAGATGGGTATGTTTTTAAAAAGTGCATGTATGTGTAGGTTCATTCACATCTTGTGTGTGCTTTGACAGAATTCAAAAGCTCCCTCGCCTGCTGGTGGCATCCTCAGATGGGTATCTTTACATCTACAATGTGGACCCACAGGATGGAGGCGAGTGTGTCCTTGTCCAAAAGCACAAGTGAGTGTCTTACTAGGCTTGGTTTCCACTTGCTTTATCACACCGTGTCAGGTGTTGTCATTTTGTTAAGCCTTTATGTATTCTGTTCCTGCAGGCTGTTTGACTCCAGTGAGGAGCAGATGGAACAGAAGAAAGAGGAGAAGCCTGAAGATGTCCCTCCCCAACCAGCCAGCCAATCATACGCTGCTACTGTGGCTCTACCTTCAGCCCTGCCCTCCTCCAACACTCTCATGGGTATGGTGTATGGTGTATGGTACCGCTATGCATAAACCGATGAAAACCAGCATCCTGGACTGGATACTCAGCAGCTACTCCTTCAGCCCCAATGTGCACTATGCACTACATTTTTCAAGCTTTTATACTGTTTGTGCAATGTTTTAACTAATGTAACACCTGAGAACCTCTTTAAACCACAGAGCTTTTTGCCTACACAGCTAGACATACTAACTAAAGTGAAAACAAAATGTAGCTCTGATCTTACAAAATTATACAAAAAGTATTTTCTGAAAATGAATGTCACATGTTTTAATTTTAAACATCCAGTGATTCATATTTGGAAGATTTTAAGAAAATCGTCATCACAATTATCTGATACAACAGCAATACCTTTACATTAGCTTGCAGGTATTATCAGTAATATATCAAGTTTTAAGATATGATTAGAAAAAATATCTAATGCTGTCTGATGAATGTGGGAGAGTAACTTTTGGCTGAAAGTGTAAACTAATGTCTAAAGACTTTTCTGAAGTTGAGTTACAAAAACATTTGACAAGTGTCATCTCACCAATTTCAAAGTACCTAAAACACCTATAAAGTTGAGTTTGCTTAAGTTTTGTGAATCCAGTCTAAGCTGAAGCCTGTAAATCAAAAGGTGTACCAAAGAAAGACAAAGCAGCTGATGCTAGAAGAATCTACAGTGGACCTAAGGATACTTTAGTATCAGAACAGTTATAAACTTTCTCTGCAACTCTTCCTCCTGTTCCCAGGTTACTCTGAGGACGGTGGAGCTCAGAAGGGTGAGGTCATCCCCGAGCATGAATTTGCTGAGGGTCCTGTCTGTCTGGATGACGAGAACGAGTTTCCTCCAGTCGGCAACCAGAGTAATTGACCAGACCCCCTCCCAAGAAAATCTTCCCTTCCTTGTCCAACAATCAGACTTGTTTGTTTTGAACAAGGAGGATGGACAAAAATATTCCTGACATGTTGAAACAGCGTGACACACCCATCCTTGCACATGTATCCCTGCTGGCCTAGGGTCACATTTTGCCAGAAAGTTACTTAGTGTTTCTGTATTCTGCATCCCTCTCATTTTTTATGAGGAAAAACAATTTAAAAAAAACACAAAAAAGAGTGAAATGTCCATTCAATACATTCAGAGCATCTCGGCTTGGATTTGACAGACTGTAGCCTAGTCTGAAGAGTCCCACTGTTAACTCCCATGTAATGCCATAAAACCATTTTAACCCTGTTTTAAATAATGATGACAGCACAATGACATTATTATTGCCCAGTGTTATTGTGGAAACAACCAGATGAGCATGTGTTTGGAGGCTGGATATACCAAGGGACAAAGAGACAAGAGTAACCAGAGGCCAGATTCACAAAAATGCTCTTCAGCCACCTCAGAGGTCATTTTAGAAGTTTCTTCTTACACCTATGTGCAGGCAAACAACAGTTGTTTTAATTATTAAGTATATGTCTTGCTTTCTGTCACTTACAAATCTTAGGAACTGGAGTCAGAAATGTCTGAAGAGCTACCATGAGACATTTTTGTCAGTCAGGCCTCAGGACTTGGAGAGCTTATCAATGGACGTGTCATACTTCGGGAGAGGAGCAGTGGTTCTCTCAAAAAGGAAAAGATGTTGTAAGCGTGACACACTATTTAAATCATGATGCATTCAGTAAGTATTATATGACTTGCAGATGCAGCTGTGATACTAAATATGGTAGTGACAGAGGAGACTAAAAGCAGAGTCACAAAATGTAATCTGATAAAACGTCTGGAACACTTGGCTCTGTGGGAGGAGAACAATGTGAACCGAGTGATGACGAGCTGTATGTGACAAAGTTACAGGTCCTTGAATTTCAGTGATATCCTGAAGACCTTTTTATTTTCAACATGATGCTGAATATGTTAACATGTAAGTCATTTTTACCTTGATGTATTAAATATTATTTTGCAAAATGTTACACATCAACGCATAGACTTTCCATGCGTAAATATATAGTGAGAATTTTTACTGTGTCTATAATGTGTATATACAACATTTATATATAGCACTGTTGTAATAAGTAACATGGTAATACCATTGAATTGCCAAAAGGTGGCGCTATTAGGACACCCATGTGCTGCATTGAGCTGTTCAGTACTGGACGTTTACAACAGAGACTCATTAAAGCTGACAAGTGATTTAACCTCTGCACTGTCTGTTTCTGATTTTAAAAACAGCATCATTTACAGTGTGAATGTTTAAATCAGATATTAAATCTAATCAAATATCTATAAAAATAATAATAAAGCTCTGTATTTGGACATTTTAGACGTCAGTATCTTGAAACTGCCAAATGTTCAAACAATGTGGCTTTCAGTTGTTCTGCAACAAACCAATTCATAAATAGTAGCACATTTGAACTGTTTTTGTGGTTAGAGAGATCTTATATTTTTCCATATAGCTCATCTCATAGAGAACCACCTCACCCTGGCTTTATTCACTAACTGGTCAAAGTCTGGCTATCTGCCTCTCTTTGCTCTCTCTGATTGTTTGCATGCCCCCTGCTGCATTTGGACATTGAACCACCTAAAAACACATTCTACAAATAAACAGCCAAGCACATCCAAAGGAGTTACAGTTCTCCCTATATGTTTGCTTATATCTGCATGCTTCTCTTTCAGCTTTTTGTGACAGTGTCAGTGTGTGACTTTTCACCCTCAGCCCAGCTTGCGACAGCGGCAGACGGCCTGTCTCAGGTCACAGCACGGTGCGGCTGATTGGTCTGTGCTGTAGTCTGCTGTGGACACAGACCTGTCGGTGGCTATGTCCCATAACAGCTCCTCCCTCTTGCGGGCGATGCTCTCTGCTACGGCCTGGTACTCAGGTGTCCCAGCTTCCAGGGGTGTTTCCTCAGCGTTGTCATGCTCCAAGTCAAATATCAGTGGTGGGTCATGGAGCTGCTGCCTTCCAGTTGCACCACCACATGCCTTAGCTGAACCTACAAGGGGACAGGGATGTGTGTGTGTGTGTGTGTATTAGTTTTTAGCCTGTTTCTCTCACATTTGAGTGTTTTTTTGTGATAAACTGTAAACTCTTATCTTTATTATAGTACTTTCAAGAAGCTCACTGTTATTCAGTATATTCTTCTCGCTATGAGAATGAAGTTATTATATGGATTCATGCTCAGACAATATGTCTGCCCAAAAAAACTAGACAAGTCATCAAACTATAGAACACAGAACATAAAAAGACTACCTCTGCCCCCTTCTTGTTATATTATATGTAAATCTGACTGTTTTTACTGCCATATCTGCTGCTGTTGGTCATTTGCACTACTGTCCTTGTGCACCTCAATGTCACAACCATCTGACAATCTTCTTGTTACTATTTGCACTACTGTCACTGACTCTACATGGTTTGAGTCATAGCCTATTAGGTTGTACCGTTTAGTTTTATCCTAATCACTTTGACTTAGTTTTCTTATTCTTTTTAGTCTATTTTTATTCTACTTTTATTCTATTTTAGTTTCCTAAATGGTATGGCTTTCAATACCAGGTAAGAGAGACACAGTATTTTGATTTTCTGTATGTCCTGCACATGTAGTGAACTGACAATAAAAATCTTTGATCTTGAAAACTAATCCAACATGTTGGTATCATGTGCTACATGCTCTCTACCACAATGACAAGCAGCACTGCAGAAGCAAAGTAATTAACATGTCATTACATCTGTAATACAGTATGCCCGACTGTCATGTAATGTGACTCCATTAGGACTGAGGACATGTGTGATCTGTATTTGAACCACACCTGTGATATAGAAAGCTTTATGTTTGCCTCTTCGAACTGTCTGCAGGTCACCAAACGATCCTGCAGCACCACTGTTGGGATGGAAAAGAAACTGCAAAAAAATAAAAATACAAGAACTGATGTCTATAACAAGAATCTAATGCGCACCCTCACGGACAACACAAGAATTTTTTTTTTTTTAACAAACCAAAGATTAAAAACTAGTTAGTTAGTACCTCATGACCAGTTTGTTCACCATACAGCAGGATATTTGTGGCGTCAATGCCATCATAACGTCTGTCGGGTGGGGGGGTTATCCCTGCCAGGGACAAAAGGGTTGGGAAGATGTCCATACCACTGCAAGAGGGCAAAAAGAGAAGACAGGATTGGACCAAACTGCATTTGCAAACAGTTGTCAAGCTATTTTAGTAAAAGCCAAAAATACAGCAGGTACTGAGACATTTCGGTCTGGACCAAAGTGGAGAACTTACCAATTGATGGACTCAGAGCAATGTTGCTAGCATGGATAATGGCTCTGCATGCATTTTCCTGTCTAGTGTACTAGTACTATGCCTCATTAACATGGTATTACTGAGTCTCTGTGTACACATAGGGTCTATAATGTAAAAACAGGACCTAAGCATTTGAGGGATTTAAAGCAGTCTCTGCATGGTTGGTTTAATGGGAGCACCTGAGCAGGGCGGAGTTGGTGGTGTTTGCAGGGATCCTCCCAGGCCAGTACAGCACTGTTGGCACCCTGTGACCTCCTTCCCAGGTGGTCTGCTTAGCTGAGCCTCCACCTTACATATAGGCACCTGACTGTAAGATGACTATACACAATAAGGATTCACAGCAGCAAAATGTACAGGAGCTCCAGAAACTAACAGTCTAATTAAATACATAAGTAAAGCATGCATGAAAGGAGCTCAGTTTCTAAGGAAGTTTATTTTTATACCTCTGCTGGTTTGCCATGTTCCTTTGAAAGGTCCCACACCTCCTGCATACTGACACTTCTGTTCCCAAGGACCGTTGTCACCTAAATTCAATACACACCCATAAGAATGCAATTAAGGCTTTTTAGGATAATTACACTATTAGGGGCAAAGAACACCAACCGGTGAACCAGATGAGAGTGTGGTCTTTGTCTGTGACATCAGAAGCGTTCTTTACTGCCCCCACCAGGTTGTCCATCTCTCGCAGGCTGGCGGCGTACACTCTGCCATCATCTGGATGATGGGTGGTGGAGGAGGCATGTGGAGGGAGTGGAGGGGCCAGGGGAACATGCATGTGAGCCAGCGCTATATAGAGCAGATACGGCTGTCCTTGTTCCCTGCAAAGACAATTAATAAAACTGTCAGAAAACACTGAGCTATGCTGCTTTGAAACAATATTTGCTCACAGGCAGATGTTTTTAAACAAATACCATCAGATATGAACAGTTCTAAATTTCTTTCAGACATTTTGACTTGTCTTGGCCATTATCAGTGACTTTAATTATGGCTTTTCCTGATATCATGACATGTCCTGATGTCTACCCTGACATATAATACTGAACTGGCATATATTTCGTGGATGTAATCAGGTGTGTGACATTCATGTGGTATAAATGTGCACAATGGGTCATTTTTTCTACTTTAAAGCCGATGTTGTCATTTTATTTTTCTTCACTGACGTATCTGGAACCCAACATTAGTCACTTAAATTACTTCACTGAATGAAAGCACATACTTTTGGGTCTTGACAGCACATGACTGATAACCACTACACTAGTTCACATGACCTCATATTATAGCATGAAGGCATGTTATCTTTCACAGGCAGCTGCAAACAGCAGGGTTCACTGCCCTCCTCCTGTCCCTCCAACACACACAAACACACAAACGTTCTGCACTTTACTACTACCAGTATTCTCACCACCATGTAAGCACATTTTATAAAAGCCTGCTTGCATTGAAATGGCATGTGTATTATATTTTGGAAAATTATTAAATAACTTCTGCAGGGTAAACTCCTTAACACACTCAACAGCATGCAGCTTTTCACTAAGGTAGTACTCAATGTAGGGCTATTTTAATGGAGTCCATAGTATATAGTACACCATCAGGAAAATAGGATCCAGATAACCTCATCTACCACTAGGTCTGGTCGCTCCTATTCCCAGAGTTCATTTACTGGTAGGGTTCGCATTGTTTTATCTTTTTTAGACAGTATCAACAAGAGACTAAGACCTAGCTCTCTAGCCAAAGACAAAATATATACAGTTCAACAGCCATATGACTATATTTGGGTGACATATTACTTTATTACAATGAACATGGAAGACATACTGATGGTCAAACTATGGAGTCATTGTAGCACTTTTCCCCTCCAGTGCTGCCTTCGAAAGGAAATTAACCACAGGTGGGTACAAATGTCATCACATGCTGCTGATATACCTGATCTGTCCTTTTTGTGTTTCCCAGAATAGGCCACAGCACAAGTATGTCCTCTGTTAATCTTACATGATGCAACATCGCTCTGTAGCAACAGCTGAGTACTGGCAAAAACAAAACAGGACTCCAAATCATCTCAGATTCTGACTAGAGTATCAAGGCTGAAGGTTTATGATGGCATGGCCTGACACCCCTTTTGGGGCCAAATAATGGGTAAACATCATTTAACTCATGTACTGAACTTCCATATGAATACTCTCCCATTCGCTGGCACATTTAATTGTGTATTATTGTTTCTCTTATGGTATACAAGTTAGTGGAGTATGAACCATGACTTCTTAGACTTGAGTAAAGGGGATAGTGACCTTACATTTTCATAGCCACCAAAATAAAGTTATTTTATTCCTGCCACAATCAGGTCTCACTTGCCATGGGAGACTACACTGCACCAAAGATTTTGAAAAACTGACCATAGTGTGGTCGAGTGGCTGTTTCAACCCCTATTGACTAACATGTTTCACTTCCTCAGCAGTCTCTTCTGGACCATATTACATTTGAGTTCTCAAGTTCATACACACTGACTGTATAAAAAGAAGCGGACAAGATGAGCAGGCCCAAATGGAATCAGCGCCCACAGCATTCCGACAACACCTCTGCATAGTTTCTGTACATTTAGAAAAGAAAGTAGAGCTTTAGAATGTAAGTACGTTTTGCCCTGGGCCTGCTGATGAGTCTGTTGACAACATTGTGATGCAAAACAGAGGCATACACTCTGGAATGAGGTTACACAGGTTGTATAGTTAAGTTCAGTAAAAGTCGTTTTCATGTGGACCCACCAGAGATGAGCTCTGCCTCCAGAGATCCAGTACCCAGCCAGTGCTGCACTCTCTCTTTTTCAGTATCACGTCATATTTCACACCTTAAGTATTTAATTCTCCTATTAACAGTTATATGGTGGTCTAGACTTTCACCTGTCCACCTGAAACAGGCTTTTTTTGATCAGCCCACCGGCCCACATCGTCCTCCTTCTCCCGCTCCATATCCTACCAGTAGCATGTCAGCAGGTAGCTTTTTGGCTAGAGGTAGTTAGCTGAGCTAGAAGGAAAAAAACTGATACAACTCTGAACAAAAAGAGGAGTGGTAGCGATGAAAAGGCTTCTCCACCCACACCGGACAGCAGGCAGAGAGCTTGGGTAACATGAAACTTATTGCTCAAACTGACAACAACTATGTTTGTTACTGCAGTGCCATAAAATCTCAGTGAGTAAAAAGCAACACAACCGGATAGTGGATTGGTGGACCTCCCAGAGCAGCTCCCACACACCTCCCTGTACACCTGTAGCTGCCAGCTGTGAGTCAACATCTACAGTAAGAGTGAGGCTGAATGAGAAATTGTGACTGATCTCAGTGTTCATTATGTATAAATTTCACCTAGTAATTAAAGACAGGCATTTCTTCATATTTGTTTAGATTTTACAATTATCATTGGGTCTATGTTGTGACTTACTGTTGTAGATATGAATGAATTCATTTATACTTAGTGGTCAGTTTATTAGGAATGGCAGTCTAAAACAGTCTAAACTACAGTCCTGCAATATAGAGTGTTGATTCAACTGTATGATCATTTTGGACTGTGGTTTGTTACACAGACAAGAGTTTCTGTTATATAGCCTTTGCTCACTGACGTACTAAATGGGATGGATAAAATAATACAAACACCAGTATCATGCAATAGCTGCGTGGTCAATTAACCATTTGTCATAACATGTTTGTGCTCTCCCCCTAGTCCTACATTCAAAATGTTATTAAATAAAAGTACAAAAGTATTATAATCAAAATATACTTAAAGTACTAAAAGTAAAAGCGCTCATTATGCAGAAAAGCTAATTTCACATGAATATATTTCATATTGTTGGATTGGATACTCAAGTACAGATACCTCAAAACTGTACTTAAGTACAGTACTTGAGTAAATGTATTTATTTACTTTCTACCTCTGGTAATTCTGTATCTTTGTAGCTGTACTGTACCTTGCAGTGTGTATTATCCTGACTGCAGTAGACCTGTATCGCTCTGTTAATGTCCACAGGTCCAGCGGCTGCTCCGCAATACTGATGTTTTCAATCAGAGGAAGGCCCACTTTAGAATAACAGCCTTCATGTAGGCTCCTCTTCAATCTAGATCATGAGAACAATAGGAAACAATAGAACATAATAAATGTGTGTGTTTGTCTGATTTAAGGCTGTCAAGTAACTCACAAATTACTTAGGGAGGTGAAACATTAAGAAACAAGTATGTATTTGAACATATACCAGAACATTAGAACAGCTCAATATGGCCTGAGGTTGTAGTGTTACAGTAGGAGAACAGAACCACACCTGAAGACTTGAGTTTCATCCTCATCACAGGGGATGCACTGGGGCAGATTATATCCTGGTGTGTCAGTGCAGCCCATGTCATTACTGTATGGAATACCTAAGTAGTAGTCAAAACCTGTCCAGGAGACGAGGACAATGTTGTGTTTAAAGCTGTAATTGTCAGGTTTGCGGACATAACAGTAATGTGTATTTTTATCCATCAACCCCATAAATAACACTGGCCTTTTAATCAGAGTTTCATTTATGGTAACCATAAACCTTTGAAGTAATGCTCACTCATCACTATTAAGGTGCAGGTTATATTGTATATAATGTAGTAAGTGTTTAAGTTATCGGTTATTGGGATACAAATGTTGATGTTAACAATTTTTACCAGAGTCCAATAGCTGGTATTACAGTGGATATGACAGATATGACAGTGCAATGTTCCACTCCAACTGGTCACATTATAAGGTAGATATGTGGTGGTAGTGCACTGCATGTGCCAAATGCTTGGGTGTCAAGCATTCAGGCTGTAAGTGCTGTTGAGGTTCAGTTTCAAAGGGCTCACATGGATCTAACTGGGTCACAGGTCTACAAAGTACAGGGATATCATTAGTAGGCTTAAGCCCTTTTCAGACATGCACTAGGACCCTGAAATTCTCTGGACATTACCTGGGGGAGCTGTATGTGAGTCCGAGTCAGCTGACCCAGACCTTACGTGGACTTTACTGCCAGCTCCCTAGTACAAAGTCCACGTAAGGTCCAAGTGAGATGGAGTGAGCCCGTGTAAGAATACAGTGGCATGTAGTCTGGAGCTAGAGAGCATGTTGATGACATTCTATTGTGTGTCCTGATTGAAACTGGAAGAATACAGACATGGTGATGGTAAGAAAAACCATCATTTACAATGAAGACACCAATGAAAATGTCAAACTGGAGACAACATGATTCAGGAACTTCTGTCGTTAAGAGCCAGCACCAGAATCTTCGGGCAGGGCAACAGACTCGGCTGTTTACAACCAAGTTACAAATTGGCTATGTGACCGCGTCATATCCCACCTCCTGTGAGCTCTAACCAGGCACAACCCTGGTACATAAACCAATGTCTGTTATGCGCTGCATGTGTGAAGGGGCAACTTTTAACAAAGTCCAGGCCCAATTCCATGAACATAGTTCAGAGTTCATGTGTGAAAATGGCTATAGTATGCATGTCCTGAGTGTCACACCATCTCACTAAGATCACAGCATTCTTTGTATGAGCACCACAGAGTCACTACTGCAGTGATCCTGCAATGATGACTATGCCATTGACTGTTAGTGGGGGGTGGGTGTTGAGTCAGCTGACGGCAAAGAGTCGGGTGCAAGAGTGTCTTCTTACAGGTCACAGCTGCAGAGAGTTGATTACTGAACCTGTTTACTGTCCCCTGTAGTGAGGCTGATGCTCGCTCACACACTCAATATGGTTGGAAAAGTCTGGAAAGCAGCCCTGAACAGGAACTATGATGTACAATACATAATTAAGCATGAGTTGCCTCTTATCGCACAATTTCATGTGGCATGTACAATTTATTTCTTTTTGTTTGAAATCTGCATCTTGTTTTTGTCATATAACGTTTTATTCATTTTAGAACAAAGATCGCTACAATACATGCGCAAAAAGAGAAAGAATCTGAACACTTTCTGAAGCCAGTGTAGATATAACCTGTACACACTCTGTTCATATTTAAACTCTACCCTTCTCATTTCAACTTGCGCCTATAGCGAGCCAGTTTCCCCATCTGGTTTGGAGGTCAGATAACTTTATTTACTTACCTTTATGTTTACAAAAGGCTGTTTGTTTGTCGTGTGGGCTTACCAAAAGATACAAAAGGCATCAAAATTAAATGAATATTTTAAATGTGTCCATTGCTTCACAGGGAAGGTTTCTGTGCTTTAATCAAAATTCACAAGTCTTTTTGAGAAACTCCTGTCTGATCTGGGGCTCGAATCTTAAGTTGGGTCATGATAAATTTGGGGTGTAAATCTCAAGCTCCTACTTACTGTACCTCTGTTAGTTGGACTGTATGGTCCATTGTGGCCCAGATGCCATTTCCCGATCATAGCAGTGTAATAGCCCGCCGTCTGTAGAAGCTGGGGCAATGTAACTTCAGAGAGAGGCAGGCCAGCTACAGAGTCCACTGCAAAGTTATGAGTCACCCCATTTCTGAGACCATAACGGCCTGTCAGGATGGCAGCACGGGATGGGGAGCACGTTGATGCTGGGGAATGGAAGTCTGTCAATCTGGAAAAAAGAACAATTTTTTTATAGTTTAGAGAAGGATTAAGTGTGTAAAACATCATGTCATCCAAACTCATTCAATATCTTGTCATTTATGTAGTATATATATATACACACACACGCTATCAGATATGATACTAAAAATAAATTCTTCACCTTAGTCCTTGCTTGGCCATCAGATTCAGGTTTGGTGTGTTGTTTGCCTTCTCTCCAGGCTTATTAGCATCCAGGTCATCCCAGCCTATATCATCTGCCAGTATGATGATGAAATTGGGCCTCTTCCTGGGCTTTTCAACACTGGCTCCATGCTGGGACACTGTGCAGAGTAGCAGCCCACACAGCAGCATCCCAGACAGAACAAAGAGGGTCAAAGCCTCTGCCATTTTGGGTCAAACCCTGCAAAGAGTTATATAGGTCATATTTAAATCTAGGGTAGCGCAGCATACAGACATACTGTGAACATGACAATATACCGTACAACAAATTCATGATACAGAAAAACTTATAAATAACCCATAGAATTAATGCCAGAGAGAGTCTGGCATTTCATTATTCTAGGCTGCTAGACCTGATGACCAGCAGGGCGTAGGTGCTGAAGACTTTGTTCTTCCCATTCAGCTGGCTTCTCAGGACTTGCCTTAGTCTCTGCAGGTACTTGGTGGTTGCTGCTCCTTGCAGCCTCTTCATGGTTCCCATTTGCCTGCGGGATCCCAAGGTACTTGTAGCTGTCCTCAACATCTGCTATGTTGCCTTCTGGTAGTACAATTCCCTCAGTTCTGACTACCTTCCCTCTCCTTGTTACCATTTGACCACACTTATCCAGTCCGAATGACATTTCGATGTCCTGGCTGTAGATCCTAGTGGTGTAGATCAGTGAGTTGATGTCTTGTTCACTCCTGGCATACAGCTTGATGTCATCCATGTAGAGGAGGTGGCTGATGGTTGCTCCATTCTGTAGTCGGTATCTGTAACCACTCTTGGTTATGATCTGGCTGAGGGGGTTCAGCCCTATGCAGAACAGCAGTGGGGACAGAGCATATGTATGTATATATAT